TCTGTGGCTGTGATCATCTCCACCAGAGGAATTGTACTTGGTGCAACCGCAAAGTTCAGTCCCCTGGCAAGAATCTCTGTCTCCGGCTGGGTGAGCTGTCTGTCAGATAAATTCTTCACCCACTTTTCTGTCTACCTGGCATGTAATTGACTCCTGGAGTGTTGTCCTACACTGAATGTGTTGTTATTGGAATAGTGATAGTGTTGATGAGTTATTAGTAAGTTAAACTTGTTTTGTTGTCGAGTCTTGGACTTGACATGCTGTGCTTAGCGTGCCTGATCTGTACAGTCCTTCACTTGCTGAAACTTAGTTGTTAAAGTTGAAAGAAACAGAAGACTAGCTAAAATGTAAATGAAGCAAAGCTCTGGCTAAAACAATGAGACTAGCTGAAAGACGCTAGTGCTGCTGACTCAGCAGTAAGTTATTGAATGTCGACTCAGCAGTAGGTTAGTGAATACTGACAGCTAAGTGAGAGAATGCTGACTCAGCAACAAGTGAAGCCATTTCCTAATGCTGTATCAGCTGTAAGTTAATGAATGCTGACTCAGCAGTTAACGAAAGCTTGTGAATGCTGACTCAGCAGTAAGTTTGTGAACGGTGGCTGAGCAGTAAGTTAGTGAATGCTAATTCAGCAATAAATTAATAAATGTTGACTCAGCAGTAAGTGAAGTGTTTGAGTGCTGATTCAACTGTAAGTTAGTGAATGCTGACATCTGTGAGTGAATGGTGACTCAGCAACAAGTGAAATGTTTGCTAATGCTGACTCAGCAGCAGTAAGTTAGGAAATGGTGACTCAGCAGTAAGTTAGTGAATGCTGATGCATCAGTAAGTTAGTGAATGTTAATGCATCAGTAAGTTAGTGAATGTTGACAGCTGTGAGTGAATGGTGACTCAGCAACAAATGAAACGGTTTAAATTAGTAAGCGGTGACTCAACAATAAGTTGTGAATGCTGACTCAGCAGTAAGTAAGTAAATGGTGGTGACTCAGCAGTAAATTAGTGAATGCTGACGCATCAGTAAGTTAGTGAATGCTGACAGCTATGAGTGAATGGTGACTCAGCAACAAGTGAAACGTTTGTTAATGCTGACTCAGCAGTACGTTAGCAAGTGGTGACTCAACAGCAAGTTGTGAATGCTGACTCAGCAGTAAGTTAGTGAATGCTGACTCAGCAGTAAGTTAGTGAATGCTGACTCAGCAGTAAGTAAGTTAGTGAATGCTGACTGGTGACACAGCAACAAGTGAAACGGTTTATTAATGCTGACTCAGCAGTAAGTGAAGCTTTTGAGTGCTGACTCAATTGAAAGTTAGTGAATGATGACTCAGCAGCAAGTTTTTACTGTACTTGTGAATTGCTTCCCACAGCATCAGAGTGTGATCTCTGTAGAAATATTTTGGGAGCTGGGAGACTCCTCTGTCAATGAAGTCATGGTGGGGCTGAAGGGAGCGGTATGTCAGAACCTTGTACTCTCTTTGGGCCAGAATCAGCAGCCCATCCCCACCCGTAGACACAACCTGTACACACATCAGTGAATTAAGTTACACTGGTTCAATGGGTCAAAATCCCATTCCTACCATTCATTATTACACAGGGAGACATACTCGTTTGAAGATGCCGTTGGCAGAGATCAGCTGAGTGCGCCCCCTACAGTTTATCTCCAGTGTGTAGCGCAAATGAGGGGCCAGGAGCTGCAGCAAGGACACACAGAAAGGTCAAGGTCAAACTACCATCAACCCAAAGCAGCATCAGTTCTTACATAAAACAAGAATGAAAGGATCAAATTTACACAATAAAATGTTTTAAATCACTACAGTCCTAACACACATGATTATACTTGCTACTATCCACAAGATTCTTATGTAAAACCAGGGGCCTCGTGTACAAATACTTGCGTGGATTTCCTACTGAAACATGGCGTACGCTTAAATTGAGAAAACGGTGTACTCAAATAAATCCAGATGTATGAAACCGTACATACACATGAATCTAAGCACACTTCCTTCGCACATCCCAATCAACGTGGAACTGAACGCACATGAGGGGATACCCGAATCCTCTCTTGACACCCCTAAATATGTTAAATAGATGCAAATATATTTAGCATGTGGGATTCTCATTTCTGTGTGTTAAAAATGTAATGTATATGCAGAAAAATGAAGAATTTCCTTGAATGTGAATCAGAGACGCTCCTAAAGAAGTAGTGGGGTGTAGAATCATATTTACCACACGTGTAAAAAGGTGTGTTGCTGTTGACTGAAGTAAACTGGGGGTGCAGATCTGCCTGTGGAGCCTTTCTAAGACATTTTCAACTTTACACACGTTAATAATAATTCTAAACACAGAGGCACACAGGAGCTTGGTAGAACTAAGAAGTTTATTCTTTAAACAGTTGCTGGGACAAAACAGATCACTAAGAATCAACAAAATATTTCCTCTGCAGTGTGGGGAAACTTTATATATCAGGGCATGAAGTCATCCCATCCAGCTGGCCCGGCTCAGGGACGACTGAGAAAGACCTGATCAGTATATGGTCAGCGTGATCCCTGAAAACACTCTGCCTCCCAGACAGGGTCGGCCCAAGGCATAAGCAAATTAAACGGCTGCTTAGGGCCCTGGGGCCACTAGGGGGCCCCCTAAGTGGAATCAAATTATTATTATTATTTGTAATGATTTCTATGATTCTATTACACACTGTCATTATAACGTTGTGATTTTTTTTTTTTTTACAATAATATTTTTTAATAACATTATTTTTTATAATGTAGCATGTGTCAAACTCAAGGCCCGTGGGCCAAATCCGGCCTGTCATTACCATTTCTGTGGTTCTCTACACAGAGGGCCATAGAAACAGAACCCTCCTTTGGGGGAGTGGTGGCGCAGAGGTTAGAAGATGGGCTTGTGATCAGAAAGTCGTAGGTTCACCTCCCGGTACTGTCAACATCAAAAAATGTGGGTGGAAAAGGTGAAACACCCACACCTCCCTCCACCCTCATTCGCCCCACTCTGGGCCCCTGAGCAAGGCCCTCAACCTCCACCATCTGCTCCCTAAACAGGTCTCTCTTGAAAATGAGTTCTCGTGGCTCAATGAGACTACCTGGATAAATAAAGGGTAAATGGTGTAGTATGACAATATACGAGATATATATGCATACAATATTCACGAGTTCCTCATCTTTCTGACTGTGTAATGTTGTGCATTGAATTTAACAGAAATGTAACGAGAGACGTTATTTATCTTTGACCCATCAAAGTGAATGCGGCCATTTATTTTCAGAATCAAAGTTTAACATCAAACATTTACATTAATTTGGCAAAATATGAAAATAATAACAGACAAGTTTCACAGAAAAGGGACATCGATCACTCGGCGGTGAACGAGGACTTTGCTTCAGATATTTCTAAAATATCTGTACTGATTTTAGAAGAGAGAGAAGAGTTTAAGATGAAATGGAGTTATCTTACAGAGAGATATGTGAGGGAATTAATCTGTTTGACCAGAACGTGCACGCTTCATCAGATCTCAGCTTGCCTCCGGTACACTTTAGTCGAAGAGGAGACTGTTACCTGGTTGACGTAGGTCAGCTCGATAGAGAATCCTCCAGACTTTTTCAGCGTCTCCGTTGAGAGCAGCTGAAATCCTTAGATAGTCGTGTGTGGTTTGTTTAAACAGAAGTTATAATCCCAAAACGTCTCTGGATCATCCTGAACGCGTTTGTGTAGGAACTCTGAACTCCTTTCATTCTTCAGAACTTCTCAGACTCTAACAGAATCTTTCAACTCCAGCAACTCTGTAGTTCTTCATCTCCTCAGGCTCTCCAGCTTCTGGAATTCTCTGGAATTCTCCTGAATTCTAACATGAACTGGGAAGTTGCCACATTTTAAATGGGTCGACTTCCGGTTCATTTGAGAGCTTTTGATTGGTCGATGGACCAGGAATAGAGGTGTGGTTTATGATATAAGATGTTATTAAAAGTCAAGGATTGTTTAGTAACAAACAGAAAGATTATTGTAGGACTTCAGACTTTTTGGAGTCTCACACTTGGTAATCTTCTGAAAAAGTTTAAACATGACATCTTTCTCGGTAAACATTTTAGTTGACCGAAAACCGACCTTTAACACACTTACATTGCTTGGCTCATTTCAGACAGAAAATCAAGAAATGCATATTAACCTGATTTCTTCTTTGAATGAGGAATAAAAATCATTACTTACTGTTTATGTAAAATAAAAATGAGTAGTTCTTTTCAACCTGTAATATTGGGTGAACTAACACAATTTTGATTATCAAACATTTTGTAAAACAGTGATGATCATAGAGAATTGTCTTTTCTGCTTGATTAATTCAAGAAAGAAAGTCATCAGATGGCTCAGACTGTATTCAGATCAATGAAATAACAGTCCCTGTCCATCTGATAGATTTGGGGTCATCAGGGTCAGATCAGGGTCAGATCAGGTTCACTACAATGGAAATAACAGTTGTGTGCTTCAATATTACTTTATCAGTTATTCAAATCAGGTTTTGTGTTTATAATGCCAAATTACTCAAACATAAAATATTAAATTTTTAGAAGTAGTCATCAAATGCAGAGAAAGTTATATTTTACTAGTTTATAAATGCTGCCATGTCCAGCCTTTTGAGAACATTCATGAGCCTGATGTGGCCCAAAATGAAAATGTTTGACGCCCCTACACTAGATGATATCTACATGTAGGATAAAGTAAACAGGGCTGTCAGAGTTGCAATGACTTTATGTTAGTTGGGTGAAAGATCTGATCATTTGACTGTTGATTGCAGTAATCCACATTATTAGCAAAAATAGAGGGCCCCAAACCAAATTTCGCTTAGGACCCCATGGAGGATTGGGCCGGCCCTGCTCCCAGTTCTGATGTTGTCCTGCAGCACCACATCTGTCATTATCCCACTGATATGTACGAGCTGGTCTGGGAAGCTCAGTCCTCACCTCCTTATCTTATGACTGTTTTTCTTTACAATGTATGCTTTTGTTGGATGTTGACTGGGACCCTGTGTACACAATTCTGTTCCACCACATGTACCACATGCAATGTGATTGACAATAAAGAAACTTTGACTATGATGTGCAACTTTACGCAGCTATTTATGGACCTATGTGTGATGGTGTACATCTTGTGGACCTGAGGAGTCGTCAGAGATGAGTTGTTCTGAATTAATTTGCTGATCTGCCATCGTTTTCTTCTCAGTGAGAATGACGTGTCCCTTACACAGTTCACACTTCATGCTTCTCCTCTGTGCCATCACTGACGTGTGTTTACATCTACATGTGACAAAAATAGAAGAAACTACTGTTTACATTGAAGTGAAGTTGTTTTGATCATTTTTGAGGCGTGTTAGATGTTATGTGGGCGGCTGTGGCTGAGTGGTTAGAGCAGTCGTCTTCCAATGGGAGTGTTGGAGGTTTGATTCCACAAGCAGTCTTATGTTGAAGTGTCCCTGGGCAAGACGCTGAACCCCTCATTGTAACTGATGTGTCCCATCAGTGTATGAATGTGATCTAAACCACTGATTAGACACTACAGATTCAGATTAGCTTTGTATAGATCTAGTATAGAGCTGTATGAATGGATAAATGAGGCACAGATTGTTGTAAAGAGCTTTGAGTGTCTTGATTAGATAGAAAGGAGCTGTATAAATACAGTCGTTTTACCATTTATGTTGATTGAAGTTAAATGTGCTTCAGTTTTCTTGTTTGAATTTAAATGATAAACGCCCAAACTCGTGAATAAATCATTGTGTTTGAATATCCTTTAAGATCAGAAAACCAAACAGTGTATTTATGTGAGTTTCAGTACTTTGTATTCTGATACTGTGGACCAAAAACGTTTGTGTAGAGTTAAGCACATTCTCACAGCAGGTCAACAATATACGTGAATTAGCGCAAACTTTCACACAACGTTCATTTTGATACATCCTGACATGTGCATAGAAACTGGTGCATGCCATCATTTTGTGCGTGTGCATCGTTGATGCACGAGGTCCCTGGTGTGGTAGTAGCTGAGAGTATCTATGATTTCTATGTTCAAACTGCTGTTTAATACATTGTATTATATTATATTATTCTTGTTCAGTGTATATCTTAGATCCTTGTATACTGTTTCTTTTTTAATACTTTATATTTTTGCTTTTTTTGGGTGTAACTGGGACCTTGAGTACACAATTTTGTTCCACCTCATGTACCACATGTGATGAGTATAAAGAACCTTGAACCTTTATTTATAGATGATGAGTAATAGCTGTGTTGAAAATTTTAGCAAAAACTTTTGGAGTAGATGCTTTGTTAGCTAAATATCTCTTGAACCACTGGGCAGATATGAAATAAACTTTCAGAAAGTAATCACAGGGTATTCATTTGCAACAGGGGCTTTCAAAGTGTGGGAGACTTAGCCATAAAGATATTTTCAAGGTTTGACCAAAAAGGCTCAAACTCCATCATTTCACCATAAAACTCTGGCATCAAAGGCAGATGGATATATAAACTCCTTCGAGGAATGCTAGTTTTGTCATTCATAAATAAAATACTTTATGATCTTATTCTCCATTACAAAGAGTTTTTAAGTGACTTTTCTTTTGTCTCACATTTGTCCCATTTCCTCATTTTAAAACACACAATATACTGTCACAGGTAGAAGGAAGAGAACCAGGAGAACATTTTGTTAGCTCGACAAACTACTGACAAAGACCGCCTTAACAAAAGGTTGGCTTCGATGGAAGAATAGGAAACTAGGAACAGTTTAGAACATTTCTCCTGAAGCTCCTGAAGTTTACCTTATAAACAGGGTGGACAACGGGCAGCTGTCTCAGAGACGCCACACCGAACACTTCAACCACAAGGTGAGTCCGGAGCAGGTGGGAAAGGAGCTGGAAGATCTGGAACTCCGAGTGACGCACCCACATCTTAGCCAGGAGCCAAGCCAGAGGGGGGTCTCTGGGCAGGAATATGGGTGTATTTATTCCAGGAGTGGGCTCAAGCTGAGAACAAAGATCAGATCAGTCCAGACTCTCTTCAGAAATCAGAACAGGAACATCGAGACTCCCAGACCAGATCCTAAAGCCAAGAACTGGGCTGAAAGTGAGTCTGTGGGCATGAATGTAGGCGTTTGATTCACCACCAGTTTACTGAACCATGAAAACATTAGAGACAATAAAAAACATGAAAATGACTAACTCAGAAGCAGCACCACCTTTCTCTGACCGCTGTTCATGTCCCACTGGTCCCTCTTTAAATGATGACTAAGATCTATCCATCCATTATCTTTACCTGCTTCTTCCTTTTCGGGTCATGTGGGTAGCTGGTCCCATGTCCAGCAATCACTGTGCGAGAGGCGGGGGACACCGAGGACAGGTCTCCAGTCCATCACAGGGACACATAGAGACAAACGAGACAAACATCCATTCACTCTCTCACTCTCACCTAGAGACAATTTAGTTACCAATCAGTCTAACATGCATGTTTTTTGTCTGTGGGAGGAAACTGGAGTATCCAGAGAAAACCCACACAGCACGGAGAGAACGTGCAAACTCCACCCAGAAAGGTCCCAGGCAGGGATTTGTCCTTGATGACTAACATGTAATGCACGTAAAGAGTGATGCGACATCAAAAGAGACCATTGTTTCATCAGTCTCCATGATGACATCACTCGTCACATCACTCTTTACGTGCATTCCTGTTGATGATGCAGTAGAGGTGGTCAGTTTAAGATTAAAATCAGACACCACTCTGAGCAGCAGGACCACGCTTTCCACAGAACAACTGTGTCAACTCTTGAAACTGTGCCTGCAGTCAACCTACTTCACATATGGGGAGCAATATTATAGGCAGAAACATGGGTGTGCTATGGGGTCTCCAGTTTCTCCTATTGTTGCCAACCTGTACATGGAGGAGGTAGAAAAGAGAGCCTTGACGTCCTTTTCAGGGACACCACCAAGTCATTGGTTCAGGTATGTTGACGACACCTGGGTTAAAATTAAATCTCAGGAAGTCCAACATTTTACTGACCATATCAACTCTGTGGATAAATACATCAAGTTCACACAAGAAGATGAAAAAAATGGCAACTTGGCTTTCTTGGACTGTGAGGTCTCAGTCTCTGATAGAGGACATTTGCAAACTGAGGTGTACCGCAAACCCACCCACACAGACCAGTATTTGCAGTTTGACTCCCATCACCATTTGGAGCACAAGTTAGGAGTCATCAGGACCCTGTATCACAGAGCAGACAGCGTCCCCACTAGCTCAGGAGCCAGGCAGAAGGAGAAATTCCACACAAGACAGGCTCTAGAGCAATGTGGATATCCTAACTGGGCCTTCCTGAAAGCAGAGAAGAAACCCAAACAGGACTCCAGTCAGCCAACAGGTGAAAAGGAGGAACCCAGACCAGTGGTCATTCCATATGTTGAGGGAGTATCAGAGAAACTGACACGTTTATTTTCTAAACATAACGTCCCAGTGGCTTTTAAACCCCAAAATACATTACGGCAAAGACTGGTTCATCCCAAAGATCCAGTCCCCCGGCACAAACAGAGCAATGTTGTGTATGCTGTTCAGTGTCAGGAGGGCTGTGATCATTCTTACATCAGGGAAACAAAACAGCCACTGGCCAAAAGGATGGCCCAGCACAGAAGATCAACATCATCAGGCTAGGACTCTGTGGTCTACACTCATCTCCAGGCCAGCGGTCACTCTTTCAGGGATGAAGATGTGCACATCCTGGATAGAGAGGAAAGATGGTTTGAGAGAGGAGTAAAGGAGGCCACCTTTGTGAAAAGAAATCGTCCATCATTAAACAGGGGTGGAGGCCTACGTGTTCAATTGTCCCCCTCTTACAATGCTGTGATTGCTAGTATCACTCAGCCCTCTGTGAATAGTAAACAGCCATCAGTGTGCTAATGATCCATTGTTAGGCTGATGGTCCTTCTTGAGCATGTGATCAGCTGGTTTTGGTTGTCAGCAGCAAACTGGTTGATCCACTCTGAGAAGGTGCTATTTAAGAGACTGAGCTGAATACAGCACCTCAGACTGAGGAAGTCTCTCAGATGAGAGACGAAACGTTTCTACATTTTTTTGTTGTTTTGCTTTGTTTAGTTTTTTTGAATGTCCAGAGGACCAAATTTAACTTTTTTAGATTTTTCTACCTGGATTATTGAGCATGCATCAGGATATTCACATGTCTAATTCATTCTTTTTTTTTTTTTTTACACCTGACAGATATGATGTCATGCACAGCTGCTGGGAATCCGAACCAAAACTGAGGCCTGACTTCAGGGATTTAACCAACACACTGAAGATCCTTTTGTCTGAGCTTCCAGTCCTGGAGACCTGTGAGGAAGCTACATACATGAACCAAGGCTTAGCTGCTGCAAATGAGGCTCCTCAAACAAACACAGCAGGAAGACCAGAAAATGTGTACTTACCTTCACCGGTGGGTGTGAATGGAAGTGGAAACTGTCCCGGTCATAGCAGGGAGCATGACTCCTCTGACTACATGAAACCATCGACGTGAGACAAAGAAAGATGATATGATGAAGCAAAGGAACGCAGTGATTGGAAGAAGACCAAATAACGAAATCTAATGCATTTATCTGGCTCTGCTTTGAGGGTAACTCAAATGCAAACCTTCAAACTTTTGTATAGTAATTTTGTTTGGAATATATTTTGGGGACAAGGGGCAGATATTATAAGAATTCATTCTTCTTCTGCTGCCTTTCATTTTATTTTGGTGATTGTATATCTTTTTTCTTTTCTTTAAATTGTATTATATTTGTTGTTTGGATGAAATGAAATGAATAAATAAAACATACATACATACATACAAACCAGGTAACAAGGTAACTCCCCATCTTTGTCATAAACCATCCCCAGTCATCTTATAATGGTTTGCTGGACTTTCTGCTGATTTCTTATTGATGCAAAACATCTGCTCCTAGATCAAATTAAATCATTTACTGTTAGTTTAAATTTAATTGTACTAAATGCAAAACTAATCTTGTATGAGTGCAAACATCCAACATATTCTTATGTATATATTCTCCGTATATATCTTTTTTGTATGTTTTTAAATCGCTAAACAGTTCTGCCCCCTTTTATCTCGCTGATCTGCTGCAGCCATATTTCCCACAGCACTCTAGAGGTCAGCAGACCAGAGTATTTTATTGGTGTCAGGCACTCGTTTTAAGTTCAGAGGTGACAGAACCTTCTCTGCTGCAGGTCCAAACTGTGGAATGAGTTACCACTCCATGTCAGGCAGGCCCTCGCTTACTGTTTTTATGTCTCATTAAAAAAAACACTTTTATTCCACGGATTTCCATCCAGTGTGTGTTGATTTTAACTTCACTCTGTTTTTATTATTTTTGTCATTTAGTTTATTATTTTTACCTCTGTGGCTCTATGTATTTGATCCTGTGTCCTTTGCTATTTGTTTTGCTGTACAGCACTTTGGTCAGTCTTGCTGCTGTTTTTAACTGCTTTATAAATAAAGTGATATGGTACTGTATATTGAACCTCAGCCAAGATGTTATTTTTTTGCTTGATTACAATTCAACACTTCCTCGTCCAATAAAACTCATCTTTGTACATATTAAAAAGCTTTTTATTTAAGTCTGATTGGGCAATGATATTGTGCTAGTGCTGCTAAAATGTGGACAAAATAATCATAAATATTTTGTTCCATACAAAGTTTGTTTTCTCAGTCATCCAGGTATATAACAACAAAAAAGG